TGCATCAGAGAGGAATGAAATTGGAGAATATTATGTAATGATTCTAGAATGTTGCAGGACATGGTGTGTGATGAGGATACGTGGCTGTAGCTTTCAAATGCATATACATGAGTTAAACATGTAATGTATTCTGACTTTATTTTAGGTGGGGATACAGGAACACCACCTCCTTAACTGATTCTTTAAACGTCATGTGCATCAAAACATCAAAAAAAAAAGCAGAGATAACTTACATTTATCTGAATTCTAGTTGCTAGCTCTAAATATCACAGTAAAAATGCAGGGTAAAAGTATGTATTTAAGAAATGCAGTGCTCAACACTTTTTACTGAAGATGCACACTTTGAAATCAGTATTAAACAATTAAAGTTAGGAGTCTTTACACTTTGGCAAGAAGAACCCAGGTTCAGTGTAAAAGCAGTATGTAATTGCATTTTGTTTTTGTACTCCAAAAACTTAAAAGCAATAAATATAGAACAAAATAACTGATATCAAAGTGTCCTACTTAAGGACTGAAATAATTGAAATACAGTAGTATATAGAATCTATTGTATTGATATTGAGAGTTGAAGAAATACCAGCTTGAAATGTTGGATTACTTTTATGGATTTGGCAGCTAAGCTGAAAGCAGACGCTTGATAGTCTTAAGTGCTGTCACTAGCTCAAAATTGGATAGCTGATAAATATAAGACTTTTGAACCCATCATCTGGTGTTGCCAGCAGGCAAAGCCAAGCCTTACTGCAAAGATGGATTAAGAGAGATGCTTTAAGAAAAGTAATCAGAGAGATATGTAGCTGAAAACAGCTGGTTTGTTACAGGAGCTTGTGAAGGGGGTGGTGGTGGTGATGGGAGCAGATTTCTTGTAAAGATAGCTAGTTGTTTTTTCCAAGGATCTTCTTGGCTACTTTTCTAGATCAAAAATTGTTTTATCAAGATCAAGAATGGACAAGAGTTGTATCAAGATAAAAGTCTCCTCCCAAACCCTAGTATTTTAGAGTAAATGTAAATTTTGAAAGTTCCTGTTTTCATATTATGCATCTTAAAATATCTTCCTATCCCATAAATGTGGGCCCAGAATCACATAAGCACATGTTGGTCTGATTCACCTAGATAAATTGCACTTGGAAATATCTTTAATACTTCTTAAGTTGAATCTAGAAATCTGGACAAGATGCAGAGATGATGAAGAGGAAAATCAAAGGTATGGAATAATTTCTGTGTCAAGAATGGCTAGAATAGGATCCTTGATCAAGGGGAAAACAAGTGAGACATGGTGCAGTAATATAGCATGCTTTACATTTGGGGGGGGTGGGGGGTGGTTGGGAGGGAGGGGCAAAAACCTTGACACACACGGGAGAAAATTTTTTATGGGGCTATTAAAGATTATTACTGTTGATGGTGAAGGACTCTGAGCTTTTAATTTCCCAGAGAATGTTCTAAGTAAATGTCACTATGTGCTTGTCTTCTGTTTTTTTTTTATTCTTGGGCATTTGCTGTCATGTCTGGGACAGTGGGTTCAGACAGTGACCCAGGATGAGCAAAAGGTCTAGCTGTTCTTGTTGTGTGGGAAGATTTCTATGGTAGAGATTAATTACTCTTTTTATTGGATCTAGGAAATCTATAGCAGTTACTTTAACTATGAAGTTAATTTGTAAAGTAATAATAGGAACATTCCAAACATTAATCCAGCAACTTCAAAGGCTAGTGAGCCTTTCACCTGTGCTGTTGTCTTAAGCTAAATAAAGCAAAACCATGGATAATAAGCAGAGGCAAATCAAGTTATAAGGATATACCAAGAAAAGGAAGGTTAATAGTATTGTTGGCTATCAGGTGTGGAAGAAACCCTGAAAAACAAAAAGCTGTTGACTCAGGCTGGTAAATCAGTGGTACACAGCAGCAAGCTTAGTCGTCACTGCTTGCATGCATGGAGTCTAGTTATCTCTGTATCCATCAACTGATGAAACCACTCCAGTTTCCCTGAAAATGACTGCCTATTTAAGCAATGCACTGTCATGTCTAACTTGATTTCCATCAGTTCTTATATATTTGGGAATTGCTTCAGTGAATAACATCCCTGGTAATAATAAGGCTGTTAACTTGCTTGTAATAACTGCAGTTAAATGGATTTCAGAAGGAAGATAATATGACTCCTCTTGGCCCACTGTATTTCTACAGTATCTTAATTAAATTCTCCAACCTACTTACTAAAATGTAAATTCTCAAAGCCAAATATCTGACAGGGTAAGGACACTGCATTGAAGAAATAGAAAATGTAGCTGGAGAACTTACACAACAGATGGTAATACTAAGTTACTGAGATGTGCAAGTAAGTCCTTTAAAAGCAACTCCCAATGTAGGGCACTCTAAAAGCAAAATAATTACAAATATTAATTACAACTTGGTATGTGAGCATAATGCTTACTGGTGTCGTAGGTGCAGAGGCTATTTCCCTTTGTTGTGCTTAAGCAGCTGCTGTTAAGGCCTGGGAAGAAAATACATGTAGTAATCACTAAGCTTTATTCTCCTGTTGAGGGGTGGGAGGGGATAAAAAGTCAAAAAGTTACTTTTGCTTGTTTAAGCCAATTTTTATTAAGCTGTCTTAAATGAAAACCCAGACAAGGTAGCTGTGCGCAGTAATGGGGATGAGCCAACATCCTGAAGACTCTCAGTAGAATTAGGATTTTTTTTTTGCCAGGTCAGAGACTGAGTGTGAACATGTGTAATACCAATAAGCTCTGGTTTGGTTTAGAACTGATAGCTACAGAACAACTAACAAAGTCAGCTAGCTGACTTTCTGATCTTTGTATTTGTTATTTCATATTTGTAGAGATACTGATGCTTCAGTATCAACCAGCAAAACAATGTAGCATTTGAAACTGGGTAATTAAAGCTGCTTCCTTTTAACTTTAGCCAGATCTTCTGAAACTGCTTGTACCATTCGTTCAGTAGCTTTCTTCAAAATGTTTGCTGTCTGTATGGCATGATCCAGAGCAGAATGTAAAATCTGCTGGGAAATAATAAAATATAGCCTTGTTAATACTAAAGGCAGATGTTTACGTAGGTGTAGAATAGAAAATTAGGTTTGTTTAAGGTTCTGTGCAGTGTTTTCACTCTGAATACATGTTGAGAAGAAAAAATTCTGAGTCATGTGAGACCATTCCAGGATTCAAGTTGGAAGTACCTGATAGTTATTTCTCTCTTTGAGTAATCCTTTCAACTGAGAGATGTTTACACATTTCTAAAGTAGAAGCCCAGTGTGGTGCATGTTTATGGCATTGGGAAGGTTTTCTTTAGGTTTTGATAGTGGTTTGTATGACATATTTTATTTCAGTATATGAAATATAATTCCAGAAATAAGAGCCAGTGCTCCTTTTCTGTTCCTTTTCCCATTTATGCAGGGACTGAGTTGCATAAAGAGTCTGTAACATACTCATATGAAATAACATACTAATACATAAGCTAGAATACTTGGGATTTTAACTCCCTCCTGTCTTATCCTCAAAAAGACTAGACATGCTTAGGTTACAGACAACTTTCTAAGAATGGGATGTTCAACAGTGTCGTGATGTGGGGATGAAAGCTTCCCAGGGTAGTTGTGTGGCTTTTAATTTTCATTCTGAAGTCTTACATTTGCATTGGACTCATTAGCATTTCTGTATCTGATGTTGATTGCAGATTTGGTTTGGCCAGACTTCTTGCTGGGTAAGTAGTGACATGAAAGAATAATTTTATCGTATGTGCTTGAATAGCAGGTTTTGGCAGCCTCCGAGTTTTGCCTAAAAATAGGATGCATAGCATAAATACAAACAATTTTAGTAAACAAAGAATTTCTGTAATATGAAATAAATATGTAAACATCTTGACAGCATACTCAGTAGCAAGTTAATTTTACAATGAGTAGAATTTTTCATTTAACTGTAAAGCACAGTCCATCATAATTTGTGTTGCATCTGTATTGCAGTAAGATAGAAAACATGCCAGGATGCGGAGTCAGGAAATCACTCAAAATAGTATTGCATTCTTGCTGCTTTCTCTGAGTGGTCTGTGCCATTAATTCTCAAGTCCAGCTGCTGTGCTTCCAGGCAATTGCCTGGAAATGCCTGAGTAATGCTGTCAAAAACTATGGTGACAAAATTGTCTGAATTTCAGTCTAGTATGTGCCTACAGTTAAGAATCCATTTTACTTCTCAGACTCCCACTATAATTTAATGTTAACAATAGTTAAAATAGGACTATTATGTATAAAGAAATGGTAGCAAACAGAACTTAACTAATCTTAACTAATGCAGATCTGCTTTTTAATCTGTGAATGGGACCATCCTCTTAATCAAGTGAAATTTTTATTTTTTTTTTTTACTACTAAATATGTCAGTTGAAGAAGTTTGTGTTTACTCTTCCTTAAATTAGAAACATTCAAGAACTACTCTTAAGAATTATTTACACTTGCTATTAGGTTAAGTATTTTCATTTCACTAATGATTAAAATTCTAATATACATCATACACTGCAAAGATGAAACTTTCCTTCTGTTTGATACTGGTGAGTTGTTTTTTCCTTGCTGAATCTTCAATGATGTCATTTTCTTTTGTACTATATAGTTATTGCTGCAGCTTACCTTGGAGAAAGTCTGTTTACAAGTTCACGTGGCTGTTTATTTTTTTGAGCCTTTTGAGAGGAAAGTCTTTGCTGTGAATAAGCTGGAGTAGTTGAGGCCATGTTTAAAACAAAGACAAAAAAAAGTAATTTGCTATGTATTTATAATTTTTCTTCATTTCGCATTCATAAAAAATCAAGTAAATATCATTCCTGAATAAAACTTGAATATGGTTCTTTCTGTAAATGAGGACAGATTAACCTGTTTGTGTTTGCTGTTGAATTTAGTTCTGTGGTAAATAGTATGCAGATTTATATTAATTTCATATAGTGAAAGACTACAGAGGCAAAGTGTAATCAGACTCATATAATCCAAATCATTACATGAATACTTCTTTGATTTATAAGTTTACAGAATTTATACAAATAAGTAACTAATTTGTACTTCCCTCCCACTGCTGAAAATTTGTGTTTTTCTGTATGCAATTTTTCTACAATGTAGAGAGGAGTCTGAGGTAAAAGACATTAAAAGCTACATGTTCAACATTGTAAATATTATTTATAAAATAAGGCTTTTCTTGACTTTGTATGTCACACAATTTTGAGTGTGGAGATGAAATCTTCTTTAGTACTTGTTTACTTCAGGTAACAGCTAGCACTGAAAGTTGGCACAGTAATACCCAATTTTAAAAATTCTTCTTTATGGCACTGCAAAATGAGATATTCCTGTCATAAATGAAACATGGAAGGGACTCTTCTCATGAAGAATCAGGTAGGGTGTGTATAAGGACTAAACTTGGCCAGGTGTGTAAAAGTTGGATTTGCTGATACTGCTCTACAAGATCTATACACATCTATTGTTGCTTCTGGTTGCTTACACTAAATTAGATTTGACCTGCTAGTTGCAATGTGGCCTTCTGCCTCTTGAAATCTTAACCTGTGATAGGCAATTATTTCAGTACACATTATACTTATAAGATGAACCCCAACATTTATTTCTACATTTGGCACAAGACTCAACAGACTCTGTAATTCCTGAGTTGAAACTGATCTTTGCTTCCTGTAGAGCATCTGCATCTAAACTCTGAAAACAAAGACATGTTTAGAAAAACAAACACTATTAAAAATATTTTTGCGTACGTATTAATATTTTTGCGAATATTATACCTCTTCTCTCTCCATGTGATCTTTTACTGAGTGTTTTGTATCTTCTATTTTCACAATTCATAAGTTCCTTGTTTGGTGAATCATTATAGGAATTGTAGGCAGAGATGTCTTCTGAATCGCTGCCTAAAATCCCAAAAATAAATTAAAAAGGTCTGAAATAGTAAAAATTTTGGCCTGTGTACCTAGGTAATTATTTGTCTTTCAGCACCATCATTTGTGAGCCCTTTGCTGCTATTAACACTGCTGCAATTTGAAGTAGTACTTTTTTGTCCATCACAGGTGAGGACTGAACTTTAAAGATTGTCTCAAATGTAGATTTTATTTTTTTTTGTGGTGGTTGTTTCTAGTCTGAGAACTGGTGTTTTGTGTGTGTGTGTTTTTTTTTTTTTTTTGCTGGTTTGTTTTTGGTTTTCAGATTTTGTTGGTTTTGTGTGTGTGTGTGTGTGTGTGTGTGTGTTTTTTGGTGTTTTGAGGGTTTTTTTTTTTTTTATTTATATTAGGCTCTCTCATCTCCATAGTTTTGTGAAAACAATGCAGCGTAAGAGGAATGTGACAGCAGAATTTGGGAGATCTAGTACAGCACTCTTTAGCTATTGCACATATCAGTACTAACAATAATGGCCTCTAGTGTTTTACGTTAAAGTGAATGGATATGGCAGAGAAGCCAAGGACAACAGGCAGACCAAAGGTAAGAATAACCTACATATTCAGACTTAAAATTGAAACTAGGACAGCCCATGCTTCAGAGTATTCTGCAGTGAAAAGACAAGCTGCTGAGATGTGATAGGTATGTATTGAACATGATTCAGTAGTAGGCAGAAGCACAGTTCTGACCTTTGTATGCCATCACTACTTACTCAGGTTGCTGTCTGATAAATCAGTTGGTTTTCTCTGCATGAAGAGTGAACAAATTCCAGTTTTCTTTTCCTGTATGTTTGTGTTTCTTTGAGTATGAAAACAAAATATTAATTGTACCTTAATACCTTTATAATGAGCCTTATAAGCATATTATATTAATGTTTGATCACTTCTTACTTGAGGACAAATCAGATTTACCCTTAGAAATAACTCTACCTGTATCAATTATCTGAAAAAGTGCTAAGTAGAAGCTTAAATTAAAAATTAACCAATTGGGAAATTGTTACCCCTTTAGCTAAAGCACACATTCTGACAAAAGGACTCTACTACCAGAGCTGTTAAAAGTGCTTGAAAGTAGAGCTTTTAATAATCACATCTCTGAATAGCAAATTAGTATGAAAATCCTATGTAATTATGTATGTTGCATCAAAATATTATCAATGGTAAGGATTATACAGTTTCTTGGTAGCTTTGAGCTATTAAGGCTTTAATTTTACTGCCTTCAGGTAATAAGAGGAATATTTGAGATGTACTTTCTGCCAGAACAAGAACCAAGTTCCTTGTTTGTGTGATTTTACATCTACTTTCAACTTAAGGCATACAGTATCATCATATTTATTTGGAAAATATTCTACTCATTCATGAAAATAATGGTCAGAAATGGAGCTAACTTTCTTTAAATGACAGGTGGGAAAAAAAAAAGTAACTTAGGTGAGTTCTGCTACATAAAGATTAACATTTATATTTAGATTAATGTTATTGTGTTGTACACTGCATGTACGGTGAGATCTAGGTTTGGTTAAAGATTTAATTTGCCAAAAATTGAAACTCCAAAATAACACATGTAGATTTATTTCATCACACTGGCATTTCTATAACTGAAACTTTTCAAATGTAAGGGTCGCTCAGTAGTAGATGTAGAGGTATCCATATGTTCTCTTTCCAGGCCTACAAGGTAGTTGATAACAGTGATAACTTCAAACATTTTACATTGCTGAACATTTTGCAGTAATCCCTGTTTGGGATGCTGACATGAATCAATAGAGAACCAAGACAAAGCCTCTTCTCTTAATACACTATTAAAATAACTCTGTACCACTTAAGCACTCTAAACCTTATGGTGGTACAATGGTCTAGTGAGATGGGATACTTTATAATATGTGTGTAATCCTCTCTTTAATGGGAGCTCTGCCATTTCTCTGGTCATCTGGTTTACTACATACCTTATGTGATTATCTGCTGATAAACTTAAAAAACAGATTGTCATCTCATTTATCTGTATTAAAGATGTCCTTCAGTGTTTCAGGCAGAGTCCAGTATAGAGACATATCAATGTACATGCATGTATCCATTCACTTAGCTGTAGGAAACCACATATATGACAAGGCAAAATACATTATACACTTACCCATTTATACTTGAATCTTTATCAGCATTACATTTTTGTCTTGATGTATCCTGACTGTGGCATGCAAGACCTTCAGCAGGATATTTCTGCTCAGGTGAAAGGCGTCTCTGTTGGACAGAGAAGGCAAACCAAATGCATATATGTTTATATTACTGTGTATCTATAACTGTATGACATATCAAACAGGATAGTATAAACAATCACAGTGTTTGCATATCAGTTCTGTATTGCTTTTAGTTACCATCAAGTCTACAATTTGATTTATCTTTTTACAATTCTGTCTGTAGAGCAGACTGGGAAAAATATGACCACTTTATTGTCCAAGCAGTTGGAATTCAAGACAGGTTTCATCTTGCTTTTAGAAAGATGGGTATACATGAATGAATCTTTCTATGTTTTAAATATGTTTAAAGGCAAGCAATTGTTTGAAGGTTGTTGCTCTCTGAACAAATAATAAAGTCAGGCTAACAAACACAGTTAAGTCTTTCCTGAGAGAAATCAATTTTATCACAGATCTCTAAAATGTTTGAGAGTCCTTTTAAATTTCTCCTTTGGAAATCAATTCAGCAATGTTTTGTTTTCACTGCTCTATGATTCTAATGTTACAATATGCTGTAATATCCCAAAAGATGAGCTATCATGCTGTGCAACTACTGAAGAGAAATATGTGTTATCTCAAAGCTGGATAAGATAATGCAAGTTAAAAAAAAAAGAAGTGAGGATGGAAACACATCGCATACCATTATGTTGGAAGAATGTTTATTTGCTAGCAGACCTTTTCTCAGAGGCTCTCTTTGTCTTCTGGAAGCTGATTCACCTCTCTTTTGTAACCTCGGTTAAGGGAAAAACATTAATTTTATTTTTCTAATCTCACCGAGATACGATTAATACCCCAGATAAAACTCCCCAGAAGGGCAGAGATGGTATGTAAAATTGCTTCATGAAGGTTTGATGGCAAATTATGTCAATATCTGCATCCCTCACTTTTCTTGTTTAATTAAAAAGACCACACAAATATTGGCAAGTAACTTTTACTGGCAGTGTCGTTCTCAGTGCCAGTGAATTTTGCGTGATGCAGTGCATTCAGTAGGGTTTAGCTCCTAGTGAAACTGATGGTAGAGTTTTGGCTTCAGGAAATACTTTGAGGTCCATAAAACCCAGAAAGGTAGCAATGCCAGGCTGGAAGGAATTCTTGGGTATATAGTTACAGAATTCTATAAAAGTTTTATTCTGGAAGTATCCCTGTTGATTTCAGAAATTCCAGACATGCTGAATTTTCTATATTCAGCAAATAATTTTAGATAAACTTTTATAAAAACTGATAAATAGATATTCAAAGTTTTCACTTACGTGTGAAGGCAGAGATTGCACTTTTCACCTTCTGAAGAAAACTGATTTGTCTTTGGGATTACATCAGTTGTCTGACTTTTTTCTCCCTCATTGTTGGAAAGAAATAAGTTTTCAATGCTTCTTCTTTCTGGAGGATCAGCAGTGCTTGAAACTACTGAGCTCTGTATAAAGTAACCATAGCATAGAGTAGTACGTGGTTGTTGCATTGCAAGTATGTGACTTCTACCAGCTAGCATTTTCAGTGTCCCTAACTTGGGATTTAGGGAAAAATGTTTTCTGAACCATTGACTATGAAAACATTTGCTGATATTTGTCTACAGATGTGTAGAAGGCCATAAGATTACTTTCTGTGCATTTATGATCTAGGACAAAATACTGCCATTCTTAGTAGTAAGCTTAATTTTCTACAGCATAATAATGTTTAATCTTCCAGTAATTTTGCAGTTCAGAATCTTGGACAAATGAAGTAGTATTTCTTTCAACTAAATGATGGTGATTAGTATCCCAAAGCAAAGATAGCTTTGTAAAAGTTTAAAATAGCTGCTTGTATTTTCTTACTTAAAACAGAATAACTGTAGATTTGAAATAGTAAGAATTACCTCACAAAGGCAATATGATGAATGGGTAGATTCATCGGAAGTAAGCAAAGAAGACAAGTTGCATTTGCTGTCATAAGTTTGTTCTTGGATGTCTTCAAGCAGCATGCCAAGTCTAAATATTTCCCCTTCCAACTTTCTAAACCCAATTGCAATACACAGTTAGTGAAATATGTATAAACTGATACTTTATTTATTACTATAATAACTGTATTGGGCATTGCAGTACAGTTCCCATAGGATATGAAATAAAATGCAGTTCACTGAGCCCTTCTGAAGTACTTGAATTAATTAATTAGCCTAAAATATTGGCCAATCACTTTTAGTTTACCACATATAGTATTAAGATATTAAGATATTTGGTTGATACGCTGGAGGGAAGGAATGCCATCCAGAGGGACCTTGACACGCTTGTGAGGTGGGCTGATGCCAACCTCATGAAGTTTAACCATGCCAAGTGCAAAGTCCTCCAGCTGGGTCGGAGCAATCCCAGACACAGCTACAGGCTGGGCAGAGAAGAGATTCAGAGCAGCCCTGCGAAGATGGACTTGGGGGTGCTGGTCGATGAGAAAATGAACATGAGCCGGCAGTGTGCGCTTGCAGCCCAGAAAGCCAACAGTATCCTGGGCTGCATCAAAAGGAGTGTGACCAGCAGGTCGAAGGAGGTGATCCTGCCCCTTTACTCTGTTCCTGTGAGACCTCACCTGGAGTATTGTGTGCAGTTCTGGTGTCCTCAACATAAAAAGAACATGGATCTGTTGGAACAAGTCCAGAGGAGGGCCACGAGAATGATCAGGGGACTGGACCACCTCCCATATGAAGATCGGCTGAGAAAGTTGGGGCTGTTCAGCCTGGAGAAGAGAAGGCTGCATGGAGACCTCATAGCAGCCTTCCAGTATCTGAAGGGGGCCTATAGGGATGCTGGGGAGGGACTCTTCATTAGGGACTGTAGTGATAGGACAAAGGGCAATGGGTTAAAACTTAAACAGGGGAAGTTTAGATTGGATATAAGGAGGAAATTCTTTCCTGTTAGGGTGGTGAGGCACTGGAATGGGTTGCCCAGGGAGGTTGTGAATGCTTCATCCCTGGCAGTGTTCAAGGCCAGGTTGGATGAGGCCTTGGGTAATATGGTTTAGAGTGAGGTGTCCCTGCCCATGGCAGGGGGGTTGGAACTTGATGATCTTAAGGTCCTTTCCAACCCTAACTATTGTATGATTCTATGATTCTAAGATAATGTTTGCACTTAAAAATTATATTGGATAAATGAAGTACGGGTTGTAAAACACTCAAAATGCAGAAAATAGACTGAGGTACTAATTATCACTTCTAACCTTTCAGGATCAAACTCTCCAACGTTGATAGACTTGTCCTTGTAGTTCTGCAGCTGCAAATTATGGTGCTCTTCTCTAGCTGTTAAGTAATTCCTTTCCAAGGCATCAAGGTATCTTTTCAACTGATTTAATGCCTTCACCAATAAGAAATAATTCAATAGCAATTGTCATTATGATTTAGCACACCACAGTGATAGCTACTTGTGCTAGGTAAGCTAGATGCTGTTGACAGTGAAGTTGGTAAGAATTCTGGTACTGCTGTGGATTGGAACAGGACTGCATCTTATATATCCACGTAGTACTCTGTGCTGCCCCTTTGTGTATGACTAAAATACTAACTCATGACTTATGAATGGACACCCTGCATGTCGAAATTAGTAACTTACATGGCAACTTAATTCCTTTTGCTAATAGGTTTGAGTTATAATCCTTAAAAGAGATTTAAGAATTCAGCCACCTACTGAACACTTTGATGATTGCCTTTTAAACTCATAATTTGTGTGAGATGGAGAAAAAAAGTATTTTTAAACATCTCTGATGAAAAGATGGAGTATATTGCCTGCACATTGAGTCTAGAGCCATTTAAAGTGTGTTTCAGATAACTGAAAATACATAATTTACCAGACAGTTGTCTTGTAAAAGTAATGTCTCCTGGGTCATATGCTTAGAGAATTCTTCCACCTTCAAGACAAAATATTAGAATTTTATTAAGGATTTTAAATATTAATATGATGAATATAAAATCTGAGCATCAATACAATGTATATATTGAAACAGAGCTCCTTACTTTCTTTATCACTTCATCTGTCTGATCCTTTAGTATTCGAGTCATCTTTTCTCCTAGTGTTAGTTCTGGCAGTAAATTAGAAGGATTTGGACAGTATGCTTCTACTGTCCCAACTGCTGGTAATGCTGATGTTGTAGTTCCATACTGTAATCCTACAGAATACAAGGGAAGATCAATCAATTGGAATTTCTGCCCAAAGAATCTGCCCAGAACTGCTGATAAATTACATGAAGTAGTCATTTAATTATTTACTTGCTTGAGACAAACCATGTGTAGGTTGTATAAGGATCGGAGCATTTAATGTAAAGACTTCAGAGGGCATTCCAGTGTCTCCTGAGTAAACAGAAATGCTAGTATTTGGACAATCTGACTGAGTAAGTACCTGTTAAAATGAGAAATTTGGTTGTAAAAATATAAAGAACACTTATGGACATAAACAAGAAATTTAGAAATAAAATACATAGTGCAAGCTATTAATATTAATGAAATGTTTATTATAACAATCCCATATAATTTGTGTTTATAGTTTGATATGTGTATAGTGTCTTATTGTATAAATACTTAAAACTCTATGTTGTGAAAATCTAAACAGGATTTGTATAAATGGGATGTATAATATGAAGGTGACAAGATAGTTTTGAGAATTATTTATAGTTCTAGAGATCAAGGAGAAGGAAACAAAAAACCTGTTTGAGAGATTTTTACCTTAGGATTCAATCTCAGATGGTCGATATGATTCGGGGTGTCAGCATGCTGTGTCAGCATCTTGTTTGCAGCCAGAAAATAATAGGGAAAAGTATTAAAACTTGTTACAACTCAAATGATTCACTAAGAGAGCAATGTAGGAATGGACGTAAGAATCTGTACAGCTCTGTCAGTCAACTCCATGGCATGAAATGGAGAAGAGATTATCAAATTATTAACAAACCTTAAAAGAAATTTACTACAATAAATGTTGTCAAATTAATTATTTAAAAGAATTGACTTGTCAGTTAATACAGCTGAAATAGTTAAAGAGTATTAAGATGTTCAAGGGCAGGTTGGACAGAGCCTTGGGCGATATGGTCTAGTGTGAGGCATCCCTTCTCACGGCAGGGGGACTGGAGCTGGATGATTTTAAGGTCCTTTTCAACCCTAACTATTCTATGATTCTATGTGAAAAAGGCAAGGATGTCTATCAAACATAGGTACAGTATAAAAATATAGTTTCAAGAATAATCTTTAAAGTACTTACATGTAGATGTTCAAATTCACCAAAATACTGGAAATAACAATTTATTGTGATTATCCTAATGGTTTGATGAGATGCTTTATAATTGCAAATAACACTCCAGAGCATCACTAAATATTTGGTAATCTAAATTTCATATAAATTCAATCCCACAATATTTGATTTGGTAAAGCAGTTTTGGACTGTGGTGACATACTTGCTGATACCTATAGGCTGCCTGCATGAACTAGTCATGGTAGCTGGACACAGTATCTTCCAATGGTAAAGAAATCTTTACCAAATATTAAGAATTAGAGCATTTTAATTACCTCCAGCTGTTGCAGCCGTTCTGGAATGCCTGATTCTTCACTATTCTCTACTGGAGCAGAATTGAAATAGTTATTTTCTATAACTTTCAAAGTTACTGATTCACATAGTGAAACAGGGAAGGATTTTGCTGTTTCTGTTGTTGGAACTGAGTTAATGTTGTCACTTCTTGTTGGTACTTTAACTTCTGAAGCAACTTGGAGGAAGTCAGGAAGGCAGTAGTGAGCTTGACCTTGCTCATATTTGAGCTCATGAGGTGAAACTGTTCCCTTAAACAGGGTGCTCTCTTCTTTTGTGTTTTGAAATATGTGTGTGGTATTGTTTTCATTAATTAATTGTATATTTTCTTGCTTGTACCCATACTTAGCAGTAGAAGAAATAGGTTTCTTTGAAACAGGTCTATTCTCATTGCACAAATTTTTATTTTTATCACTAGTATTTACTTCCTCATGCTTTTCCACGTGATATTCTGCAGGGTTAGTTACCCACTGTTCATGTGCCGAAAGGCCTTTGACATGTTCTGAAGGCTCAGGTTTGCTTACAGTGTCACTGATACTTTCCGTAAGAGATGTCTCTGGTATTGTCTCGCATTCGATTAACTGGTATGTGCTTGTTAACTCTCCCTTAGAAAAATGACGCAAGAGGACATTGGACATTTTTGAGTGAGTTAGATGTTCTTTGCTATCTGGTTTACTATATCTATTAGTAGGTAGTTTCTTCTTAAAGGGAGCTTCACTTCCAGGTATTTCAGGTGAAATTCCCATTGTTCCTGCAGCACCTCTGCAGTGGTGACTGGAGAATTCTTCAGGTTGTGAATGAGTTTTGTGATTTCCTGCTGCTTTTATGTTTTTGTTATCTTCAGAACAGACTAAGTTTAAAATACCAGAAATCTCTCTTGTACAAGTACAGTCACTCAAATTACCGGAATCATTATTGTATTTACAGTTTACTCCTACATCTCCATCGTATGGTAAGTCATCTTGTTCCTCATCAGTTGCATCCGTGGTACAACCTATGTCATCTGAAAATGAACTATTCATTTGGCTTTTCATCCACTCTGACGATTTGCACTTCTTCTTAGTCTCCATGTCCAGTTTACATAAAATATACATGCCATTGCTTCTCCACTTCTGGGTAGAGCTTTTGTTAATGCATCGATCAAAATCTGTAATGTATGAGTAATAATTATTTTATACTTAAATACATTGAGAATAAGATGTGCTTGTGTCTGCTACCTACTGTAGGCTTTTTAGGACTATCCACCTGACTTGGATGTTTTCTTATTTACACTAGGAAAGTCTGGCTTAATGACTGGGGGAAATAGACACAAATGCCAAAAGCATTGGGAAAAGGAGAACTGAGCTTAGCACCAGGTATTTGTTCTTGTTCTTAATCTTAATAGTATTATAGAGTAAAACCCCTTGTGATGGAGCTAACAACGGTAGTAGAATTTAACCTCAGTTTTAAAAAAAGTAATACAGTTTCTCTTAGCTTTTGCATCCCCACTATATTGCATTTCTTCAGCTTCTGCACCAGAGAAAAACCCCTAAACTTGTTTTTAATTTCATTGTTACCCCTTTATTTCTTTATTTCACCAGATAAAATGCACAGAATTAGTACGACACTAAAGTAGTGTCCAGTCTTGTCAGTTTCATGAACTGCCTAGTTTCACACACACCGCAGTCGCTAAAAGTGGAAAGAAGGAACTTACAGCGCTAGTTTTCTACAAGCAGCTGTGTGGCTGAGCTGTTCCGTTCTCTCTGAGCTATGAAGCCGTAGAGGAGTGTGTTGTTGCGGACGTTGTGGGCCCGGCAGCAGTTCCGTTCCTGTTGCATCGTGCAGCGCTGCGGTGGTACGGAGGGCACCAGGTGTGCGGCGGCCGCTGACACGCCTGTAACCCCAGCGCGGAGGCGGGCCCTGCCCCGGGGCGGGGCGCGGCACAGGTGCTCCCTCCGCCTCTGGGCCCGCCCCCTCGCTCCCCATTGGTCCGTATGAATGATGCGGTCTTCCGGCGGGGGGGCGGGCCGTGCGCAGAGGGCTGCCGCTGGCCGGGCAGAGCGTTGGGCGCCCCGCCTGTGGGGGCGGTCGGGCGGCGATTGGCGGGTTCGAAGAGCGGCTGCGCGTGGTTGGCACCGCCCCGTCCTCCCCGCCGCTCTGTGGGAGCCGCTGCGGCAGCGGGGCTGTGGCAGCCCCTCAGGGAGCGGTCGTGCCGGCACCAGGTGAGCGCAGGCCTGGGAGCTGGCGGGGGTCGCGCCGTGGTCCCTGGGTGCCGGGCGGGAAGGGTTGCGATGAGCAGTTGGCGCCCCGACGGGTCGCGCTGCCTGTCAGCATCTGCTCCGTCGGCAGCGCTTCCAATCCCGGCTTCACAGGGCTGCGGGGCCTATATCGGTGAGCCGCTTCTGAGCGGCCTGATGTGTTGCCGAAGAAACTTGGTCAGTTTTGGAAAGCTCGTGTTCATACATGCAGTGCAGTGGTGTGGCTGGAAGCGATGCTTCTGGTAGTCGCGGACCTTGCTCTTTTGGAAGCTAAAGCCAGACCTAGCGATCCCACTAGCTTTTACTGACTAGTACTAGGAGATCACCCGTGTGCCTCTGAAGTGTAATCGGTAGCAAAAGAGCATTGCATCAGATATCTTTAATCAGTTGTGTTATCCTTAACAAAATAGATAAGGATGATAAATAGTAAATGAAATTTTGAAGGGGGCGTGAAACAGTCTGTTAATATAGTAGAAACTAAAGGACCTGCAGCATCCTGTGTACAGGGAAGAAGCTCTAAACTCTAAGAATTTGAGTTAGTTATTATGTTGTGGCATAGCTAAAGTGAAGTTATACCACACCTAACCTATTTATCCACTAGACTGTAGTCTTGCTAGTCGAGTTACTCCCCTTGTGCTTATTCAATTTTTCAACAGAGGAGCATAGTTAATCAGTAATTTTTTTTAACCCTTTATTAACCTGACTGCAGATACAGATTTTACCCATCTTTTAAGTTGTGGCCTTTCAGCAGTGAATACACTGCTTTAGAAGCCTTTTCAGCCTCATGTGCTGTTCCTGTTAAATTTTTGCCAGCAGGCTGCAGGACACATGCATCCTGGGTTGCCATGGAGAGCTGTGCAATTATCTTAGAAATTTAAGAGAGCATGCGGAGTCTTGCATCTCAAAAAGATTAGTGAAGAAATTGCAGTCCTTTAAATTTTGTCTGAAAATTACACCTTCTGTTTAAGTCATTACTAGTGTTGAAAACATCAAAAAAAAAAGGTCGTAATTACAGTGCAATCCTTGTAATTTCTTTGCTAATGTATTTTTATTGTGTAAAATACATTACACTCTACCAGTGTTCCTTCTTACTAATTAATGATTACCTAGAGTTCTGATCTGTTGGTATGTATCCCTCTTCAGCAGGAAGCACTTTATACTTTCAGTTACTCCCGTATAAAGCTGAGACAAAAACTGAACTGAAACTTAAGATCACCAATAACTTAGTTATTGGACGCGAAGAAACCTGTATGGGTGTTGTCTGTTGCTTTATTTAAAATGCTGTTAGTTAGATGTTCTTGAAACTCTTTCAAGTGTCTTAAAACTACTTGGGGTTGTACATTCCTACTGCTCTTCTGGAGTGTAACTGTAGAATTTGATCACAGAATTATAGGATAGTTTGGGTTGGAAGGGACCTTAAAGCTCCTGTAGTTCCAACCCTCTGCCATAGGCAGGAACACTTTCCAGTAGACTGGGTACTCCATGCCCCATCCAGCCTGTCCTCTAACACTGTCAGGGATGGTACAGCCACGTCTTCTCTCCACAACCTGTGCCAGTGTCTCACCACCCTCACTATAAGGAAGGGAAGATTTTCTTTCTAATATCTAATCTAAGTCTGCCTTCTGTAAGTTTTAAAGATAGGTAGAAGATCAGCTTTGGTTAATAGGTCAGAGTAATTTTTGATAGACGTAATTTTACGTTTGATAATTTTTGATAGACGTAATTTTGTTTTTGTGCTCTTGTTGCCACTTGGCTTTAAATTGTTAATATTTTATGGGTTGGGGTTGGTGGTTTTTTTTTAGTATTTAGAGAGAACAATAATTTCTTCACTTACACCTTCCTTTGGGAGTCAGCAAGCCTGACTGATTCTACTGTGCATGTTGAGTATAAGCATTGCAAAAACATAAAAACCTATTTCTTTTGCGATGTTGTAGAGGAGAAGACCACAATTTTCAAAAGAAGTCTTACCTCTTGTACCTTGTCAAATGGGAGTTTAGTCTTATTTTGCTAGAACTGTTTCTAATTGCAATTCTTGGCCTTTTTATGTCAACAAATGATAACAGACAAGTTTTCTAAACCAGTGTTCTTCAGGTCCCTATGCGCAGTATGATTCAGGGAGCAGCTTGCCTCCCTGCTGGTTAGTGAGGAAATGTTTTAGTAAGCCATGGGTGGTTTATTCTAAAAATAAGTGTGGTCTGTACATAGTTTCAACTATAGTTTTAAGGAACATATGGGGAGTTTTTCTTGGTTTATATAGTTTATCTGGATTGTTCTGTTTTGCTTTAAATAGGATCACTTTTAGTTTCTGCTAATTTTCTACTTTTTTGATTTAATAGGACAGATACTTGTATTTTTCCTCTTTATGTCATTTTTTTTTTGTAGCAGTTGTGCAGTCAGTTTCACTTTCCACAATTTAGTCATTCCTGCCCAGATCTGGTAACCATGATCTTGGGTTTAGTAGTTTTTAAGATTAACATCTAGATGAAATTGTTTGTTTAAGGAGGAAATATTGATATGAAGACTTTCTGAAAAATTAAGCTGTTATTGCTATTACTATTTCTGAGAATGAAAGAATGGTGAGATACCAGGTGAAGAAAACAAACCCATAACTTTTGTTTAGCCATTTAACAGCAAGTCAGCTATAGAAGTGATTGGGGGGGGGAAGTATTCTGTGGAAGGCCACAATGATAGGAATGTGAAATATAGGAAAAAATGGAAGTGGAAAACTGATAAGAGATGGTCTGAAACATATGTGGTACCTGACCAGATGAATAACGTTAAGCTGCATCTTCAAATTTGGCAGTGTTTGGAGATTATGGTTCTTGTCACATAATAAATCTTTTGTGTTAACTTTTTGCAAATAGGAAGGAAAAGCTTACATGCAGCTGAGTTGCATGGAATATAAATCATATGATCTACAAAGAAGCCTCTCTAAATACTTTCTATTTCTTCACTGTTCACTATGTTTCCCCACCATTGCACTGCTGGTATACTGTGTGGAACTATGTTCCCTGCGTGCATTACTTTGGAGCCTGTATCTTACCTAGCGGTTGATGGTTTATTAGAGGACAGGATACGCTATTGTAACCACTTGTGTTTGTGTGATAATGTGTGTATATATAGTGGATAAATAGGGGGCAGTGGGATAAAATGGAGTCCCGTTCAGTATTCATCACACAGAATAAAAAAGAAAATTCATTGACTAGCTTCTGAATAGGTGTGCATCTGCATCCCAAATATTAGAGTAAATATGCAAAGCATTTTACCACTTGGTATCTCAACAAATAGTGTTTTCCTTAAATCTACATAGGTGCTGTGCCATAAATAAACTGTACCTGTGTCTATCGGAAGCAAGCAACAAGAAAAGACCAACACGTGTTCTTCTTGCTATAGTACATGTTCATCCTGCACTTCTGCAGTTTTCACAGGTGGTAGCTGTATGTTGGCCAGCTGTAGACTCATAATTGGGAAGACAGTTAATACTTGCTATTAATACCTGTGAATCGAGGGTGATGAAGCAAGCAGTGCTGCTGACATTAATGTATCATGGATCATTTCAGTAGTGCATTATGTTTTTTATGAGAGCTACATCTGCTTCTTGCAGGATAAAAACTTGCTGGAATGGTAATGAGTTCTTTATGCTGTATGTTTGCTTAATCTCTCAGTGAGCATCACAGTGTGAAATAGGAAATTTGAAATGGCAGCTATATTGCTTCACTTAAATTGCTGTTGTGTTTTAGTACTGGTGATTCTAAAGATTTTTTTTTATTTACTTTTTTTAAATCTGTGGAAATTAAAGATTAATTTTCCCCTTTCTCTGTAAGATGACTGTGCAGTCTGGCTGTCGTCTTTTACTCTACCAGGATATCTTTTTAATAAAAGTTATAGATAGGCCAGGAAGAAG